ATAACATTGAGATTAATCAAGATAATTTTTCTTTGAAAATCGTGAAACAACCAATTCAACCAAAACATCAAGCTTTTGGTTGTGGCCTATGAATGAGTTATATACTCTAACAAAAATAATAGGTAAAGAGCAAGAAAAGAAAAAGATTGGCAAAGGAAAAAATTTCTCTTCCTTGTTGATGAGCAAAATCTTGACATGAGTTCCACGTTGTGGAAGAAGCAATTCAACCAAAAGCTCAAGCTTGTGGTTGTGACCCAGAAAATATTTCTTATATTCTAGCACGTCCTCTCACAGGTAGGCGTAGTTTTTTTCGAGCCTTTCACATGAAACCTTAATTTTTATAAAACTGGGTGGCGCTAAGTTTCGAACATTTGACCTCTTAGTCAACAAGGCTCCAATACCATGTCAAAAAACCAATTCAACCAAAAATTCAAGCTTGTAATTGTGGCTCAGAAAATATTTCTTATATTCTAATAGAGTCATCCAAACATGAGAAATTGTATTGGGATTTGTCTTTTTCAATCTTTTTTTTTCTCTGCCACTATTTTTTCCCCAACCAAACAATGTGTGACACTTTTCTAAAAAAATTTCCATAAAATTAAAGTGAATAAATTTAGGGAGTATTTCATATGAATGGAGAATTTGGGAGAGAAGATAGAATAGTACCCCGTGATAATAATGTTGAAAAACACAATCATTATGGACGACCTCTTGATTTTTTATTTAAAAAAAACTGTCAACATTCATAGAAATTGAAATATTGAATGCAATTGTGCTGACTCAACAACGGTTTTTCATGATAAAATGACTAAAAGAGATTCAGTGGAGAACTCGTGTACAATTTGTGACAAATTTAAAGTGACACTAGCTAAGAAGTGATCATATTCTAGTAGACTAGAATGATCATCTCTTGTATTCCTCGTATATAAGGATGAAATATTTTACTCTAAAAAATCAATTATTATCAAATTGTATCATGATATCTGAACAAAGATTTCTCCTCATAAAAAAACAATATGCATGTTTAACAGTCGCCACCGATCCTAACGAGCTTACTTAACAGTTGTTGTCTCTTATCCTCCTCAATCTTTCTAAAGAAAAATCATGAACATGTCTAATCGTCGTCCCACCCAAAAAACATTCCTTTGTGCGATAAAAGAATTAGAAAACTTCATTTATCTGTATTTTTCTAGAGTTCGAGAGTATGGAAAGCGATGGAGAAGTTGAAAACGATCCACGAGGAGAAAAAAGAATTGTCCCGCTCTCATCCCGATCCAATTGCCAACACTCTTTCCAAAAAATTCAGCAAAAATACTCTCAAGTTGACTTCTCATGCACTGAGGATCTGTCTTTCTACTTTTATCGGTTGTTCTTACAAAATAGCTTTCGCCGACTCCATTTTAGTTCTCGTGCTTCAAGACACTGCTCGTTACTAATGATCGGCTTGTGGAGGATATTAGGAATTATAGAAAGTATATTATTGTTATTATTATTATGTTCATTATTATTGATGGTGTAAATTACCTAACCGAGTAAACAGTACTAGACCGGGTCTAGGATTGTTTATTTGATTCGGAAAGTAAAAAGGTAAAAACATACGAAATGACCGGGAGGACTGTAGGTGGAAACACCTGTAGCCCAATTAATATTATAATAGAGAATGCACGAGAGCTTTTACAAGGAAGTTCAGAGAGAAGAAATCGGATCCCTTCCTTCGAAGGTTACATCAGTATTTATACTAAATTAAATGGGACATAGCGTTGTGTTGGAGTTGTGCCCTGATGGCCAACTGTTTATCGTTATTCTATCATGTATAGGCAGATATAATATGTTTACACATCTCATGCTAATGTAAACAAATATTATATTCCTAGATTTATATTTAAAAGATGTTTATCAGATAGTGTTTTTCTGCTGATGAGACTAACATCTTGAAATAAATATTTATCTAAATGTCCATAGTCGAGTATTAACGAGAGTGGGATATCGTTAATGCATGTGAGACTAGTGTGTGTTGGATGTTTGACTTAGTCTCATAGTCAATGACAGTGTGTTCGCATCCGCACATGGGCAGATATTATCTAGAGATAATAGGATGCCGGACTGACCCATCCTAAAGATGTTGCTTGAACTTTTAGTTCATGCTCTAAATATCTTTAGCGCGACCACGGGTGTAACTATCCTTCGACTTGAAGTATTACGTTTTCTGCATATGTGAACCCGCATACTTTGATGCATTGCCCTAAGCCATATGAAATAAGGATGGTTTACAGGCTTTGTTTTGGGTATGCCGCAGCGCGTATTCAGAAACGTAGATTACGTACATAGGATTTGTCACTACTCTTTTTAAAAGAGATTAATGTCTTATGGGGTCGACTGATAAGTCATGACTGAAGAAATTGCATGGCCATGGTGAGATGTTTTTATGACGTCTGTTCCTATTAGTCAGACTTGATAAATCAGTGAATGACTTAATGGATACAAGCTGGATTTTATTAATCCCTTGCATTAAGTCTAGA